AGGCCATCGCTAATCCCCTGGTGCATAAGCTCCAAGGACTCAAAATACGACCAGATTAGGCCGAAAGACGTCGCCCAGAGCGTTCCAACAAGCCCGAGTAGATAGGCCAAGGTGAAGGGCAGCTTTCTTCGCCTGACACATACAAACCACACACCCTTCGGACACCCAGCGCAGCGTTGCCACATGACCAGCCTTTTAGCTACAGCTACAGTATGTGCCCCAAGCAAGTTCTGCGGGTGCTCCGTCCTGCTACTCTCTTGTAGCCTCCTGCTTAGATTGAATCCGCGTCTGTTGCCTATGACATATATCATATGTCTCATTGTTGCAAACAACACGGGGGTGTCGAGCATGTGCATTGGCCAAACAAACCCAAGAAAAAAAGCAAGCAGCAGGGTTGCAAACCCATGGTATTTTACAACTCTTGCTTACGAAAACGGCTCTTTCATTCAGCCAAGCTTCTGCGAAATCTGTTCCTTAGCAGCTGCTTCTTGACACATGGACCCGGTGACACCAAGCCGTGTGTCTTCAACACCCTGCCATGATCATATCATGTTGCATCCTGAAATTTGGCATTAATATCTCAACGTGATCGCAATGGACACTCCAATCTATCAGGCCCACCTGGCCTCCTCACTGTCAAACCACTTCGTTCCGGACGGTTTTTGCCACGTGCCGGGGCGTATTCCGTCGTCCGTTCAACCGGTCACTCCGCTTCGTCCGGTTCCTGGGGACTGCACCAGAAAGGCCTCAGAACTGCGCAGACCGCAGACCGCTTAGCGCCACACAAAGACGGGTATATGCCGGTTCCGGCGCTGCGTGTGAGGTCATTCATGACTCCATCTAAATGTGGTCCCCAAAGGGATAGTGGCACGGTTTCCAATACAATTTTTAGTGGAGATTTACTTTTCTATCCATTTGGGGGTCTATACAAATGTGGTGAACCATTGCCAGTTGCATGCAGTGACCCCTGATGCCCCTAATATTCTATTTTGATCCATTATGCTTGTGATAGCTCTTCTCTCTCGAAAGGGCACAACCCCAGTTGTATAAAACATTGCACCCATGTTCAAGGCTCTGGGAAACTCTTGGCCGACTGAAACAAACTAAGCACCTCCCTAGATATTGTTATATATATATATAGTGTCGATGCGAGGTGCCTCATTTTCAGGGGGGCCAGTGCACTCATATACCAACTGTGTCCCATTTCACAACAAACCAACACCTTGACAACTGCCGTAAAACGTCATTATACTCATAGCTGACAGACTTGCGTGCTCCTCGAGTGCACCGTCTGTTCTGCCAGACCCTGCAGTCGAAGACTGCGTTAAAATCAACGGTGCCAAGTGGCTCGAACTCCACTCCTCAGGCCGCAGCAAGCTGAGCAGCAATAAACTCTGATTGGTCGAACATGCTGCTACTAAAGGAACACTTAAATGAACATATTCTTGGGGAATCATATCTGATCAAGCTGTTGAACAAATTGGGAGTGTTAGGTTTCTGACCTTAAAGCCACCTAAAGCGCAATGGAAGAGGAATACGATGTGACTACGTGGTGCCTTGAAAATATGAAATGGGCATCAAAGGGTCACCAAGCACCCCAACAAAGTATCTATGCTGTACACGCCATTACCAATTATACTTATACTGTCCCGGCACGCTTGTTGTCAAAGGTAGTGTTGAACTCATGAGGGAAGCCCCCAAACTACCCTTGCCAGGATTCATGCGGCAACATGCATGTCCTTTTCTCACTTGGGTGCAACTCATTCGAGCTTGGGGAGGGGCACCCCTGCGATCTTTTTCAAGAGACGTCAGTGGACCACTGCCAAGACTCCAAACTGATAAATTGCTGTGAATGTCGCTCAACAACCATCGACCTGGTGTTGCGGAACCAGCCTAATTGAATCATGTTCGAAGCATTAGCATCAAGCAAGAGTAAGGCTCCTCCTTTCCAGGCCCCTTTGCACAACCAGGGAGCAAATAGATGAACGCACTGAGCATCACCATCGATCCGCAGGTGAAAAGCAATGAGAAGGTGGCCCTGCATCATGGAAAACGGTCGTGAGTAGTGAGTAGTGAGTAGGTCTAATATGTCAGAGTGTTAACTGCTACATTTGGACTAGCACCAAAACAATCAGAACAAAACAATCAATAATTACATACAGAATCGAATCCACTAAAGTAACGGTTAAGTTCTCATGCTACAGCACCCAAACAGGCAAACGGTTTGCTGGGTTTGTTACTCCGTGGGAGGTTTCAAATGCATGTTTGCCTCAAAGACGTGAGGACACTCCCACCCTGCCACACCCACAGGAGGAATCTGCGGTCGCTGCAGTTTGAAAACACCTCTATGTATTTAGTTGTGTGTGAACCTTCACGGGAAGCATACGCACGCTTGAACATGCCGGGGTGCCAACAAAAACGAGGCATGTGGCCAGGTATCAAATGCTCTCTACGTCGTTGACACTATCCATCTTTTGGACAGGCCCGATCAAAACAGGAAAGCCGGTGCTTGTTGATTTAACACTCGTCCGCGGTAGTTCTGCTTCCGGATTGAGGAATCTGGCATCACCGGGCATCACCTTGTAAGAAACAAATAGTCATCTTGTCATCTTGTGTAGGCTATCTTATGCGCATCCGATATCTTGTGTATAGTGAAAACAACTCCCTCGAACTAACAAGTGAAAATGGCCCCTGGGACGTTTGGTTCGGTTCTTCATTGAAACCTTCACCGAAGGTCTGCCCTTGTTCGCCCCCCTCCGCTGACCCTGAAAAAAGGGCGACACCTGACCCCCGGTACCGCTTCTCAGGTCCAAACGGAGCAATCAGCAAGGTCGGTAGGAAGTTCAAAGAGAACAACACCTGGCTCGGGTCTGAGGTCTTTGGTGCTCATGCGATGCTCGGTCCAGGTGTCTCGTTGGTCCACCCCGGTGATGGACCGATGTCCGCGGCTGAGGCCCAGGCCAAGACCAAACCACCCGTGAAAAGGGCAATGAAGCGCCAAAGTCGACATGGATCCTGAGATTTGACCATCACTGAGAAGGTTTTGAGGTAGAATAGAAGAACCGGGCTACGAATGTTTGATCCTCTCTGACTTCTACTTGAACAAAAGTTGAACGATTGAAACATGTTTGAAGGATCCCGTGAGTTCTACGTCCCTTCCTGATTCTCCATTGATGTCTCTGTCTTTGAGGCGCTGTCCATCGCCAGGGAAGCGGCTCCGGACACGCGATCACCTTAGGAGCCAGCCGCCAGGGCCACCGGCCACCAGCACCACCATGAGTAAACGGTCACGGGTCACAATCGGTACGGGTCACACTCGGTAACAGTAGACACCTTCAGCACTATGAACTCTACAAACCCTATGAATTCCCAAGCATCCGTCGAAAGGGAACGGACCAAACTGAAAGCATACTTCAAATCTTGACAGCAGTGTATCAAACAAACACATGATAGGAGCTACCCGGTGGTCTTTCCGGGCATTGCCAGCTACCCCTGTAGCATGGAAATCCAGTTCCATGACCAGTCTCAAGTACACAGCCACGAGCCACCACCAGCTCCTAGCCGCGCCTGTACCAAGTTTGGCAATTAATCACTATGTTTCCTGGTGTCACGCAGCAACATCTGTTCGCGATGAATTAGCCAAACATATTCCACAAACCTCAACAAACGCATGAAGTAGGCGCGTTGGCAACACCAGTCTTTTTTTGAGTTGACCAACGTCAGCCACGTGTTGGTCTGTCTGGCCTTTCCCGGGCACTCCCGGAGCCTCGAACATCGTAGAAGCTTCAAACATCGTAGACTCTAGGAATTCGAGTAGTTCTCAAGACTCACCCTTTTAAGGCTAGGACTGGCCACTGAGAGCGCGGAAACTGCGCCTGAGAGCGTTTTCAGCTGGCGTCTCAGTCACCCAAGGCCGCCCAGAGGCCAATCACAGTCCATCAGTCCATCTGGGCGCGTCTCAAAGTGAGGGACCCCTACGCCACAGATTCTTAGACATAAGTGACATAAGCGGTTGCTGAATATGTCCATTTCCGGTGGGTCATTTCCGTGTCCAAGTATCTTCCCACCAGACTGCATGACTGCATCTGTCCAGCGGGGTTAGAAATCCGTCTATACTATAGACGGAGGCCCTGTGAGACCCGCCCTCATCCATCAACAAGGGGATGTTGACAGAGCACAGGTGGCATTTTCTAAGCGAAAAGCTTTTGGAGCGCCATGTTTGATGCGGTGATGTTTTCAAGTGAGCATGAAGCTGCCCGAGCGGTCCCAAGAGCGGTTCTCAGCTGGAGAACTGCAGAACAGAAACACTTCCAAGACAAAGTTTGTTCCAAAGCATTGGCATTGTAGTCCTTGGCCTTAAAGGCAAGACTAGGACTTGAGAGACCACGCGCAAAGAAATATGGCAGGGGCACAAACAACTAGAGCGTGAGGATCATGGAGGGTGACCATTACATTTGCACCCAAAAAGGGGCCTAAGAAAAGTGCCTTGAGCCAACATGATTGACCCCTTTGCTTGCCAACCATTGGACACTGCAAGAAAATCTTTCTCAACAGAATCCTTTGGACACTGCAGCTGGTCGTCAAATCCCCCAACCTATCCCAGCAATAAAAAAATACGCACCTTCTCGGGCATTCTGAAGCATCTGGTTGTCCCCCAGCCGCTCCTGCTTCTACACGGAACTCGCTCGCTCACTCTCGGCGCTCGAAGCTGCGAAGCTTCCGCCATTGCCATCACCCCAACAAGTGAGTCTATGACGGAAGGTCAAGTGCTACTGCACCCCCAACCCTAATGGATTTTGCTTGTTGATTACACATTTGGTGCACCCCACATTCGACTTGTCAGGTCCAATCCAAATGCACATTCTCATGTTTACCTCATGGCCGCCACAATCACGAAAATAAGATTGTGTTCCAAAGAAGCTGAAGTGACCTTTCCCAGAAAAGAACAAGTGAAGCCGTGTTCATTTTGTTGCTTGGGTTCTCCAGGAAATGCAAATTTTGCCTCCAGCTCTCTTTTTCGCTCACATGCATTCTTGTAAGGTCTCTTTGCCTCTGTTCCGGCTGGAAACAGTTCTTTACAGCTTCACAGGCTAATCCACACCGGATGTTGGGATTTCTGAAGCATGCAGGGGCAGGCAAGTCAAACGCAGTCCCCAGCAGCCGGCCCCTCTGCTGGCGTGTGTCTGTTGAGCTCGAAGCAGCAGCACGTGATAAAAGCCCACGCCACTAGTGCGGCTGCTGCAGTAGCCAAGATTGGCAGGAAATGGATCTGATAGTGTTTGCGGCAAATTCCTCCACATTCAGCCAAGCAGCTTTTGTCCAAGGGTTTGTGCGAATTGACCAATGCTGAGAGATGAAACACTATAGATTCACATAATATAAGACAATATCCGCCGACCCCTGCCGAAGCAGGGGAGCGCGTCAGAGGAGGTATGCTTGCGCTATGCTTGCGCTACAACCTCAAACCCTGCGCCAGGTCAGGATCGCAGCCAGAGCCCACGGGCTAGCAGCAGGAACCATGTCAGGATAGCACCCCGGAGCTTGACCGCGCCCCAAACCCTGCGCCACCCCCAAAACCCTGCGCCAGGTCAGGATAGCAGCCAGAGCCCACGGGCTAGTAGCAGGGGCCATGTCAGGATAGCACCCCGGAGTTAGGGTCAGGATAGCACCCCG